GCACTCAAAGTCCTCTTCATACACGCTGCTACTCTCAATCCCAAGATCAGCAAGCATATAAAGCGCGCATCGCATCCCAGTCTGATCGATTAACCTCCCGGCCCGCTCAATCCTCACGTTCTCGAGCAACACACACCGCAGTCGGTCGCGCACATGGTCATGGCGTGTAATCGTTTCACGGAATGCCCGCAGGCCGACATCGTAGACGGCCATCTTTTTATTCTGTGGGACATACCTAAAGCCTGTCCTAAGAAAGAGGGCGGTGCATGAGAAGACCCCGGGGCTCCGCGCGTGCGATCCATGTACATGAGGATATCACGAACCATGACCATGGTCACCTGGTGCTCCTTCCACTGCTCACAGATCTGGCTCAAAAGCTGCTCGTCTGGGCTCGAAGCCACCGCCTCGGCGACCTGCGAACGCTGGGCATCGTCTTCATGACTACAGAGCGTACAAACACAGCGAGGACGCGCTGAGCGGAGTCGCATTTCAACCGTTTCCTGGACTCCGTCGTACAGCAGGTCGCCGTGCTTGTGTAGGACGAGATTATACGCATTGCTACAAACCAGAATCACTGAGCGCAATCCATTTTATATTCCCGCGCCGCTCGGGCACCGGTACAGTTCCTCAAACGACAAGACAGATGCGTTCTTGTTGTAAATCTCCGAAACAGCCAAGCGAAGCTGCGCCCAGATCCGCTGCGCCTGCTCCGCGTCCATTTGACAGTGTGGCCGAAATGGCCTAAAATAAGAAAGACGATAGGTACGTGAAAAATTGATAGGCGCGAAATGGGAGCCCCGCCCCTTGTCAACAAAACTCAAGTTAGAGATGTTTGCGATCGTATTTGGAGTAGCGCAGTGACGCACTTGATGACAAACTTCCCCTTGGTCGACATGTCTCAGCTTGTAGACGTCGAGGTTTGACACATGGTCATCTCGCTCTCTGGGCGGAGAAACTCAATACGCTGCGAATGCTCGTGATAATAAGCCTAGTCCTACAAGAGGGAGAGGCTAGGGAGGTGCCCCTAGGCATCCCACAGTCGCAGCAAACAAGCCTCCAGGCGTGAAATATTTTGCAGATTACGAACCTGTATTCTGCACATGAAGCTCTGTAGCTTTGGGCATGGGCAGCTATCTCCGGGCTTGCGGAAGAGCGCGCGCATCCGACAATCGGGCGTTTGAAACCGAGGACCAGGCTGAGCGGAGTTCCCAGGGCCGAGCATTACCGGAATTACCTAAGACCTACGGGGGCCCCTAGGGTGTACGTAGCTTAGTAAGAGCTCCAACGTACGTGGCATGTCACAGAACATACTCGTGCTCCGAGTCCCCCCGAGGCGGGAGCATGGAGGACGAGGAAACAAAAGGGCTGCGCCCGCACGTGGGGCGGCTCCCGCCACGCGGAGGCACCCCCAGCAGACCCCGATTTTGGGGTAAACCATAGCCGCGCTTAAAGGACCGTTGTCCCGTCGAAACACCCCGATTCCTCGTCGATCTAGCCTCTTTTTATGAGTTTCTGCTAAAAGATCGTTGCGAGGTGCTCTGTGGCGCGGGACGCGCGCGGCGGGAGACGACGGCGAGCGCGGAGTCACACGTCGCACGCGGCGACGGTCTTGGCGTTCCGCCGCGCGACCTTCCACACGTGGGAGCTGCTCGTGGATGCGGCCATTGACGCGCGCGCCGA